ATGCTTTTAGATTTTAGAATATGTGGATGTCTCATGCTGATTTTACTAATATAATTAATACTAATTGGAGTGCCCCTGTCTACCCTGATAATACATAGCTGACATGAATAGATTATGGGCTAAGTTGAGTAGACTTAAACAATATTTGAGATGGTGGAACAAAAATATTTTTAAAAATAAATTCTCTAATATTAAAGAAGATGAATTGAAAGTTACTGAGTTAGATAACATCTACTTGAATAATCCTGATTCTGATAATCTTATTTGCCTTAATAAAGCCAAGGAAAATCTCTTTCAATTGCAACTTCATGAAGAGTCTTTTTGGAAAGAAAAATCTAATGCTAAATTTGTTATATGAAGAGAATTAAGAGTCAGATTCATAAAATTATTGATGATGATGACAACTCTATTGTCTCAGATGATTTAATTTGTAAGTCTGGCATTGTTCATTTCATGAAGATTTTTAATAGTCAATGTATGTGTGCTCCTATAAGTAATCCTAATATTATTCCTAGAATTATTAATGAGGTTGATAACAATTTACTTTGTCAAATCCCCTCTGATGAAGATATTTTCAATGTGATTAATGACCTTAATGGAGATGCGGTGGCTAGCCCTGATGGTTTTTCTATCAAATTTTTTCAACATAATTGGGATATTATTAAGGTGGATGTGATTGAAGCTGTGAAGGATTTTTTTAAGGGACACTCTAATCCCAAATTTTTTTCCACCACTAATATTATCCTTATTCTAAAAAACAAAAATGGCCCCAATCATTGGAATTATTTTAGACCGATTAGCCTTTGTACATTTCTTAACAAACTTAACTCTAAGATTATTGCCAATATGCTGATAAATATTCTCCCTAAAATTATTTCTTATAATCAGACTGGTTTTATCAAAGGTAGAAGTATTTTTAACAATGTTATTTTAGCTCAAAAAATTACTCGTGATATCAATGTTAAGGTTAAAGGGGGCAACATTATTTTTAAACTTGATATTACTAAAGCCTATGATAATCTGAATTGGAATTTTCTTTATGCTATTTTATCTCTATTTGGCTTTAATGACAATTTTATTTTGCTTATTAAGAATAATATTGAAAATTGCTATTTTTTGTTTCATTAACGTTAGGAATCATGGTTTTTTTTAATCTTTCAAAGGCTTAAGACAAGGTGATACTATTTCTCCTGCTCTTTTCATTATTGCGATGGAATATCTTTCTAGGGGTTTGGATTATTTATTTCTATGAAACCCTAATCTTTATTTTCGTACCATTAGGGGTATTCCTATATCGCATCTTAGCTTTGCTGATGATTTTATCTTGTTCTCTAATGGATCTATTAATAATATTAAAGAAATAATCAATTTTCTTATCAATTTTGATAATCAAAGTGGTCTTTCTGTTAACAAAGACAAAAGCACATTTATTGTAGATAAATCTATAAACCATAACATAATTAATGATATCCAAAGAGTTTGTGGTTTTCAGTCTAAGAACCTTCCTATATCCTATTTGGGCACTCCCATCTATAAAGGAAAAAAAAAAAAGAAATTTCTTTTTGAATATATCTTTACTAAGTTTCAAAAAAAATTGACTAATTGGTCTTCTAACTTTTTGTCTTATGGTGGAAGATTGGTTCTAATCAAATCGGTTTTGAATTCTATTCCTATTTATCTGTTTCATACTTTATTTCAATCTGCTTCTACGTGCTCTAGATTAGAGAGGATGATAAACAAATTCTTTTGGGGTTCTAAGTTCAATAGCAATGGTATTCGTTGGTCTTCTTGGGAGAAGATCTGTGGTGTTTTGAACGAAGGTGGTTTAGGCTATAAAACTTTAAGTGATACTGCTAAACCTTTCTCTCATAAATTGTAATTTTTCTCTTAGAACTGATATCAGTTTATGGGCTCGCTATATGAATGCTAAGTACTGCAATAACATGCATCCGACTTTATGTTTTTACAAAAATGCTGATTTTATGGTATGGAAAAGACTTTGCAACATAAAATGGGAAGCAGAACAGTTTATTCAATGAGGGTTGGGAAAAGGTAATGTTTTTTTTCTGGCAAGATAACTGATTGGGATCTTCTTCTATTGATGCTTTACTTAATACATATTCTATCGATAATATTAAAGTCTCTAGTTGTATTACTAATAATTGCTGGAATGTCACAAAGCTTAGGGAGGTGATTCCTCCTGATATTGTGGAGATTGTTTTGAAAATTCTATTATAGGGTCAATGCAAAGATAAAATGCTTTTCACTCTTTCTTCGTCTAGTAAATTTTAGTTGAAAGATGTTTGGGGGAATGTTAGGATCAAAAAGGAAAAATCATAGATTTTTTCAGCTCTTTGGCATAAAAATTTCCCTCTCTTATTCTATTCTTGTTTGGAGAAGTATTAAAGGTTATCTTCTGGTTGATTTAATGCTCCAAAAAAAATGTTTCTATATCCCTTCCAAATACTTCTGTTGCTCAAATGTGGAGAGTATTGATCATCTTTTTGTGAATGGTTTCATTGCCCAGAAATTGTGGTCTTATTTCAGTAGTCTTTCCAATAAAATTTTTAACTCTCAACATAATAATGTTATTTCAATTCTTGAGCTTTGGGTGAATGTTTCTAAAGGTCATATTTTTAATCAGATCCCTACTCTTATTATTTGGTATATTTGAAAGGCTATAAATGATGCTAAGCACAATGATATCAATATGGATGCTTCCCAAATTATTTCAAATGTTAGACACAAAATTCTGCAACTTTATTCTTATAATATTATTACTGTTAAGAATTTAAAAAATGCACGAATATGGCTATTGCTTTTGGTATTCTTGTGAATGATGGAGCTATCAATTCGGTTGATAAAATTGTTAAGTGGATTAAACTCAAACCACTTTATGTGAAACTACATTCGGATGGGTCTGTTGGACCTAATTATGCTGGTGCTGGGGGTATTATTAGGGATCAATTGGGGTGTGTACTTGCTGCGTACGCTGCCCCTTTATAGGTTTCTAATGCGATTTCGACTGAGCTGATGGCTTTACATTATGGCTTGGATATATGTATCAAAATGGGTATTACCTTTGTGTGGATTGAGGTGGATGCTATGCTTCTTATTCAAATCATTAACAATATTGTTCCTGGTAATCCTTAAAACTTTTGTCTTATTAGGAAAATTAAGAGTTCTTTTATATATATCAATTTTTATATAACTCACATTTACCGAGAAGCTAACGTCTGTGTGGATTGGTTAGCTAAAAAGGGTTGTTCTATGCAAAATTATGAAGAGTTGGATATTCGGAGATTAAACCCTATCTTGAAAGGTATAATAAATTTGGATAAAGTTGGTTTACCTTACTTTCGTAATGTTTGATAGTTCTTTTCTTTTGGCTGGTTGGCGTATCCCTGATGTGAGGTTAATGAAAATTAGTTGGCATTTATTTAAGTGGCGGAATTTCTTTAGTATTCTGCTTCATCACTTTCTTGTTATGTATATGGAGCCGGTAATGGTTTATGTTATTTCCTATCCGTGCTAGCAGATTTTGGGTAGTATCATTATTTTTTTATTCAGGTTGAGATGTTTTGGTCTTTTGTTTGGGGGCGCATTTAGTATCTTAAATTCTGAGATGCTATTTTGGTTTGGGGTCTTTCCTTTCAGCTATCTACTGAGACGGAGGGGTTTTTTTTATTAAATTGGCTGGGTATTGCTTATAGCTGCTTTGCTTGTTGGGATCAATATAGGATGGATATTTCATCAGGTTATTGGGGTTATTTTCCAAGAAGCTATTTACCTTATCTACTGCAGAATTTTGATAGTCTGGGCATTTATCACCATCTGATCTAGATTCAGTGGGGGATTTTCATTTGGTATAATCTGGTCAGTGAGATTCTATGGTGGCTGCATGTCCAAACCTTGTCTAAAATTAAGAGTTATGATGACTGCTGGTTTACTATTTTCGTTTGGGTTTTTGGTATTATCTTGGTCTTTTTTAAATGGTATCTAAACTCTTTTAGTTTGTAAGTTTTTTGTTTATAGGTTTCTTGGGTTTGTAAGCTCATCGATTATCTTTCTTCGGACACTCAGGACAATTTTGCTTTCTACGGTTCGCTTATCTCTTTTTGCAGGAATTACATGCTGAACTGTTATCCCTTGAGATTCCTTTTTTGGGTGCTATCCTCTTACAACCCTAGTATATTTTTAGGTAATTTTGTAATGATTTGTAGAAGGAACCATCAAATTTTAAGTTTTATTTTGTATTATTTTGTAGCTCTTCTGAGCATTAGAAAGATGGAGGTTCCTTTTAAGGACCTTGTAACCTTATTTTTTATATTAATGTGTAGGCCCCACAGTGGATTTTAACATATATATATATATATATATATTTCATCTAGCACAATTGCGTTTAAAGAAACTTTTGAAGTAATACTTGACAAATATTCCTTGAGCTTACATATGATACATAATCAAGAATACGATAAGACATCCAATATTTGATGAGAGTTGTGCTTGGTGGCTATAACACATAATCATTAGAAAGTGAAATATTTGTTTGAGTTCACATTAAGATATGTGATTATTATTGAAGTTTCTCATAAAAGATCTGATGCTCTTAATGCTATAATATTAGATTAAATAATTTTGCAACTTAAAATTGGTGAGTTAATTAGTGTTCAAAGTTTGAATCAAGGAACTAATTTATAATGAGCTGGTTTTTTTTTATTTTGGAAACCCATGGAGCGGCCTACGTGTTAATATAAAAGAAGGCTTCAAAGTCCTTAAAAAAGAACTTTCAAAATTTATAATGAGTTGGTGACACTCACTAGAGTTCACATTTTCATCTTTTAATTATTCTCATGAAATTTATATTTTTTATATTGGAGGTACTTCAGATTATTAAGGGGGATATGATACATAATCAACAATCATTTTTTTTTGTTAAAACCCACCTACGGGCTTACGCGTTAGATCGGGAAAAAGTTACACAGTCCTTAAAGGGAAATCTAGCTCACGACTGCTCCGAAGAGCTACAAATAAAATCAAAAAGAAACCTAAGAGCGTGATTTCCCTACTACTCAAAAGTACAGAGCACCCTAGGAACATTCTATGAAACAAAAAGCAAAGGGAAAATTAACCGTATTCAGCATGTCCCTCTCAACAGTAGACGTCCCCTGCACAAAACGAGCGCGGAGCTCCAAAAACCTGAAAAATAGGCAGGTTTTAATGCTAATTAACCCGATGACAAATGCCGCAACAGCAAACCTACCCCAGCCAAAAATATAAGCCAGCAAACAAAACCTCAAAAGAGTTATGCCCCTTCCAGGAAGTCACCAGTAAAAACCAAGTCACCAAATATAAAATAGCAAAAATTAACATGGTATTAATATGCAGAGATACCCAAAGAAGGAAAGAGCAATGCTCCATCAGGAATAACAATATTATCCAACAATATGTAACAGAACGATCCAGCATAAGGAAGAACGCAGAAAATAGCAATACCAGCTCCTGGTATTCAACCAGAAACCAAATCACAGCGAAGACAAAAGGATGAAAAATAGAAAAAAATAGGAGGGCATATAATTAACAAACGCAACAAATAAGGTTACAACCTAAAGCACCAAACAAGCAAAAACAACCCGAAACCAACACAGCAGAGAGGGTTAGATCCTCAAATAAGGAAGCCCCATCCGGTCCAACCTGATAAGCCCTTTAATCTCCCTGGGAAGGGAAATATCATTAAAAAGAACAAAATCATCCATGGCACACCCCAACTTAGTTGAGCCATCAGCCACAACATTACCTTCACGCAAAATATGAGATATAGAAAAATTAAAACTAGAAAGACAATGATTAATGTCTCTGATTTTGTAAAAAAATTTAGGGTTATTCATGGAAACGCCATTAATATACTGAATTAAAAGCAAGGCATCCACTTCCACCCAAATGTTATTAATACCAAGAGAGATACATAACTGGATCCCATACAGCAAGCTATCAATCTCAGCTTGCAAGGCGTTATCAGCAGGGGAAGGCCCAGCATAAGCCATAACAGCCATACCCATATGATCACGAATAATACCACCACAACCAGCGTTCAAGTTATTAAAAGAGCCATCCGTATTGAGTTTGAAACAATTGTGAGCAGGGCGTTTCCAGAAAATTAACTTCTCTTTTTTGATAATAGGCTCAAACAGTAACTTCAAACCCAAATGCAAAGCAGTGTTAATACAATTCTTAAAGGACCCGACATTAATTAAATTGGCACTATGAAGTTGAAAAATCTTATTCTTTACTTTAGCAATGATATTTAAGGAATTCATGCCAATATTCTCATGCTTGGAAGCATTACAGCTATCCTATAAATACAACCAAATGAGGACAGGAATGATATTTCTAATACGGCCTTTAGTAGGAACCATCCAATCACTAAGCATTGCATTCATCGAATCATAATGAGTACCTTTAAGAACATTAAAAATATTGTCAAAGTGTATAACCACACTTTGAAAGCAATCGGGCCATTGATGAAAACGTGGTTCAGGTTTTCTAGATGGTAACAACATTGGCATTTAGAAACGATAACCAACCCTTTTTTAATCAAAAGAGAGTCAACAGGTAAGAAGTTGTGAAGAATTCTCCAAAGTAAAAAGGAGTAAGTAGAAGGGATATTAGAATTCCAAATATATTTGAAAAGATAGTTGTTGGGCAGCATCTGTCTGATCGAGTTCCAAACAACTCTAGTATCAAACTGGCCATCAGTGGACTTACTAAATAAGATGCAGTCCTCATTCTCCTCAAAAATGGAAATCTTAGTAATTAAAGTAATAATGGTATTAGGAATCATATTAGCAAGCAAATTCACATTCCAAGTGCCATTAATAAAGACATCCTTAACTTTTAAAGTAGAAGTCGATTGAGTATTTAAAAGATTATCAATAGAGAAATTATCCAACCACTTATCTTGCCAGAAATAAATGTTCCCAACACCTAAACCCCATTGGATGAATTCTTCAGCTCCCCATTTGACATTACAAAGTCTTTTCTAGTTGAAAGAATCCCCTGGTTTAAAATAACACATCAAAGGATGATTGACAGAGCAGTATTTGGCCAGCATGAATTTAGCCCATAAACTTTTCATAGATCTGAAAGAAAACCAAAGTTTATGATTAAAGGACTTAGACATATCAAACAAGGAATGAAAACCAAGTCTTCCCTCCTCTTTAATACCAACACATTTATTCCAAGAACTCCAGATAATGGAATGCTTACCATCTTTAGAGCCCCAAAGAAACTTATTAAAAATAATTTCCATTTTGTGACAGATATGCTTAGTAGGGCTTAACGTGTGCATCAGGTAAATCGGAATGGAGCTTAAAACATTCTTAATCAAAACAATTCTACCACCATAAGACAAAAAATTAAAGGCCCAAGAAGAAAGTTTCTTGTGAATCATCTTAAAAACCTCAACAAAAAGGTGAGACAGTTTCTTACCTTTAAACAGAGGGACACCAAGATAATTGATAGGAAAACTGGTCTTATTAACACCAAACTTCCTTTCCATGTTAGCAATACGATTATCAGAAATAGACTTAGCAGGAATAAAAGAGCACTTAGAAGAATTTAAAATTAAGCCACTAGCTTGTTGAAAGTTTTTCAAGAATCTAAAAAGTAAATTCAACATTTTCATAGAGCCATTGGAGAAAAAAATAAAATCATCAGCAAAGCTTAAGTGGGTAATAGGAAGACCACCATTCGTTTTGTAGTATAAATTAAGATGAAAACGAAACATATTATTAATCCCCCGAGATAAAAATTCCACAGCAATGATAAACAAGGACGGGGATAAGGGATCACCCTGTCTGATCCCATTAGAGGACTTAAAAAAACCATGGGACTTACCATTGATAATAATAGAAAAATGACAATTCTCAATACAGTTCTTGATAAGATTCAAAAATCTCACATTGAATCCAAAAAGATTAAGAATTTTGTAAAGAAAAACCCAATTCAAGTTATCATAAGCCTTAATGATATCCATCTTAAAAATAACATTACCACCAGAAATATTAGCATTAAGGTCGTTCACAAGCTCTTGAGCAAGTAAGACATTGTCAAAAATCGATCTACCTTTGACAAAACCAGTTTGTTCTAAAGAAATAATTTTAGGAAGAACAGTAGCAGCAATAAGCTTATTAAAGAAGGTACATAAACTAATAGGCCGAAAATTATTCCAGTAATTAGCACCATTAGTCTTAGTAATTAAAACAATGGACGTGGTAGTAAAAAATTTAGGCATAATAACACCTTCAAAAAATTCAACAACAGCGTCAACAATGTCCTGTTTGATAATATACCAGCATTTTTGAAAAAACTTGTTCGTGAAGCCATCAGGACCAGCCACGGAATCAGAGTTCATATTATTTAAAGTATTCAGAATTTCCTCTTCATTCGGAGTTTTGGTCAACATAACATTATCGTCATTGGAAATAATAGAAGGCATAAAATAGAAATCAGTCTTTAAATCCGGCCTAAAATTATTGTTGAAAATCTTTTCAAAAAACTTGGTACCCGAATCAACAATCAAATCGGGATTAGTAATCTCATCACCCTCAGGAGTCGTAATCTTATGAATAATCCTACTAGTATTGTTATGGTTAGCAATATTATGAAAGTAAGAAGTATTCCTATCCCCATCAACAAAAAACTTAGCAGAAGCTTTTTGTCTCCAAAAAGCTTCTTCTTTTTCCTGCAAATTAAACAAAGTATGCTTGGCATTATTCATATTAGAAAGATTGGTAATGGAGGCATCATGCATATAGTCCAAATCAGCATTGGCCACATTACTCTCAGCAAGCTTGATATTAGTAAAGACATTTTTAAAGATGCACTTGTTCCACCATCTAAGAGGTTGCTTAAGCCTCTTAAGCTTGAGCCACAGTCTAGACATACCAGTCACATTGTTGTCAGGAAAAAGAGGAGCTTCCCAATTGCTTTTAACAATATCCTCAAACATATTATCCAAAAGCCACATATTCTGAAACCGGAAAGGTTGAAAAGAGCTATTAGTATTGTTTAAAACATTAAGTAAAAGAGGAGAATGATCAGAAAGAGTTCTGGTTAAATGTTCAGTATGGGTATAAGAAAAAGTAGATAACCATTGATCATTAAAAAGGATACGATCCAGCCTTTGCCACATGGTACCTTTATTCCAGGTAAAACCACTGCCCGAAAAGCCAATATCATGCAAATTACAATTAACAATCATATCATTAAAATCCTCCATCGCCATAAAATTTGGTGGCTTACCACCAATTCTCTCAGAGCCATTAGTAATACAATTAAATTCACCACCAACCATCCAAGGAGCATTAATAGTGGTAGCGAAGGAGGAGAGTTGATCCCATAATATTTTTCTACCCATTCTAGTACAGGAGGCATACACAAAAGAAGCAAAACTAGAGATATGATTAATAGTGACATTAGCATGAATAACTTGAGGCAGATCAATGAGAATGTCAAAAGTAATAAACTGTTTCCAAAAAATCCAGATCTTATTAGAGCAATTAGCAAAAGCATGATGAAAACCCAAAATTTTACGAACAGAATCCAATTTAGTAACAGAAACGAAAGGCTCAAGTAAAACCAATAATTGAATATCATTAATCCTACAAAGATTATTAACCCGATCTTGAGAAGGAGAAGCACCAACCCCCTCTGATGTTCCAGATAAGAGCTTTAATCATTAACAACTTTATTAGAAGCTCTAGTGGCCCTAGGGGATTCAGGAGGAGCAGCCTTTTTATTTTTACCTTTTTTTTTATTGGACTATGAAGTCATCCTCCACCTTCTTGCCCTTATAATGGGAATCAGACACAGAGTCAGCATTCAAATTACTTAAATTGTCCACGGGTAAAACAATTTCGATTTCCCCTTCTTCCATCCCATCCACTTTATCTTCCAACTCCTTCAAGTCAGACCCCTTCCCGTCAGTTTTACTGCCAGTTTCCCTTTGAATAGTGCCAAAGTCATTATTACCGTTATTTAAAGAATCGCATGCCCTGTTTTCATTCCCCAAAAGTATTTTAACCGAAATAGAGGAATCAGCTTCCTCAGTTTTCCCACCAACCATTTCCTCTACATTACTAGAAGTCTTATTAACTTCATTCTCCTCATCCCTTCCTCTAGTATTATTCATATCACCCTCCACAATATTTTCCTTCAAAATCGGATCTCCATTATTAGTGTCACAAGCAGTAGACTCAGTGTCATTTTCCTTGTTATAAGGCTTTGAAGTGGAGGATTAAGAGCACCACCCATCAAGATCTCATTTCTGTCCAGCACATTAGTATCTCCACCAACCGAGACATTCAATATTTTTTTCCCTTCAGTGTTCTTTTTCAGTTGGGGATAAGCAACAAAACAATCATGAATCGCATGACCGTGAATCTTACAATGCAAGCAGAAATCAGGAACTTTTTCACTTTTTGTAAATACCCACAATTTTCAGAACCAATCCATATGTCTTTCGGATGTTTCTTAGTGATATCAATTTCCACAAGAACCCTCGCCACATAGGGTCTTGACCGATTAGCAGTAGCTTGGTCAGTTTGTAAAGGTCGACCAAAAATGGAACCTAAAGCATGAAGAACATGAGTATTAAAAAAATGTAATCGTAAATTAGGAAAAGATATCCTTATCGGTACAATCAGAGATTCTTCTTTGACATCAAAGAAAGGAGTCCATTTTAATAACCTCATTTGACAGTTAAGAATATAATAAGATCTCCTAGAAAAGACACGACTGTAATCAAGATCATTCGACAACTGTATGGAGACGTGTCTAGCATCAAGCAGCCCAATGGAAAAATTTCCGGACAGTTTAAGCTTAGCAAAAAAATTCCTAATAGCATCCAGATTAGGCCGCCTCACAGAAAACTTACCAATCAGAGTAAATTGATACGGACTAGCTAATTTCAAGATATCATCTTCCGACATTAAAAGAGTCGGAACACCTTTAATAGTAGATTTGGTAAAAGAGATTACCGGAGGAGTTGAAGCAGAAGCTCCCGCAAGAACATCACGGAAGGACCGGGATGTAGAAGCGGAAGCAGAAGAACCAGGTAAACCTTTGGCTTGAGCCTCAAACGATGAAGGCGGAGCACCCCAAACAGCCGGCGACGAACTCTTCTCCATGAGGAGAAGAGACGCGAAAGGCCAGAAGGCCAGTCAGGAACATATCCAATTTTGTTTGGTATTTTCATAGATAATATAATATTTGCAGTAATTATTAAAAATATCAAATATTTTATGAATTAACTATTAATCCATATATTACATATCTCTAAATATTTTGAAATTTTTGCTTAATTTTTATTGCTGCTTTTTATAATTTCACTCATTGGGTATATATTAAATATGAAAAATTACATAATTCTCAAAAGCACCCTATATATTTGAGAATGTGTTTTAACTTGGTTAAATATATTTGAAATATTAAAAAATTTAATCATATATCAAATTGGTTAATTATGCAATTTTTTAAAATAAATCTCTTAATTCCTTTAATTATTTACTTAATTAAGGAAAAATTTGGTTCGGTTTTTTAACTTAGACACACTTGAATTTGAATTTTATAAAGTTAAAACTTCAAATTTTAAAAATTAATTTAAATTTTACGTATTTCTAGGTATTTTAATGTTCTGAATTTTAATATTTAATCATTTTAAAAGTTTTTCATAAATTTTTATAAATATTTTTGAGAAAAATCAAACTATTCAAAATAAAATATCTTTTGATTTTAGCAAAATTTAAATCAAACATAATACACACACTTTTGTGGTCTCTAACTCCAATGAAGTTTACCTTGATTAGCCTAGTTTGTTTTTTTTTTTTTTTTTACATCTAATATATTTATTGGTCCTATGCATGTTCAACTAAACACTTGTATTTAAATATTGGTCTATGATTATATGTTTGTTGCACAAAACTCTTGTCTCTTAATTTAATTAATTTGATTTTAATTTTGTGAACTATAGTCAAGCTTAAATTATGTATCAAGACTTAGGCTTCATTTGAGACAACTTTTTTATTGCATCTTAAAGCAATTTTCTAATATAAAAATTATTTTTTTTGTACCAGAAGCTACTTTAAAAAGTAGTAAGAATGTCGTCTCAAATGAAGTCTTACACTACACTATCTAAGCATACTAGCTAGCTTACCACTATTAGTGGGTTTGCCAAATTGGGACTACATATCTTAAGATAGCTAGCTTTAATAGTTTTAATAAGTAGTATTATATAGGCTAGCTTTTGACTTAGCCAACTTTTTTATTAGTTATTTCTCAAACAATCAAATCATTTTGATTATAGTATGTGTTTAAACCTCAATCATTCTCTCATGACTGAGAATAACCTTGAGTTTGTTTATGCTCTTTTAGTCAAATTCATACCTACTATGATCTTTCCCTTTTGAATATAGTACCATCACACTACCATGCACCTCTTAATTATTCTTTTTGACTTGTAAACTTTTTGGATTGTTCCATCCCTTCTAATCAAGTTCGCACCTAGTGCAATAATTCTCTTATGGGTACACTATCCTAAGCTAATCATATTTTTTGACTACTTCTATCCTTATTTGGTCATATGGTTTTGACCAAGACTACTCCTAGTAAAGTCATACACTTTTGGCTAGGCCTATCTCTATCATCTTAAATATCTAATTAAATTGGAATATTTAATTTTAACCAAATAATTTTGAAATAGTTCTATGCCGTATAAATTTACAAAAGTATAGATAAATTTGTCAAATGAAATAAAAATATAGTTTAAAAGACTTAATTTTACAGAAGATTGAAGTTTTTATTGAATGATGAACCCCATGCTAGTTATATCTTTAGTACATCAAATGAGATTTAATTAGGGTTTATTGGTTCTTATTATTAAACACTCAATAATAATGATGGCCAATTAATATACCCTAATCACATGCCAAATCTTAAATCTTGGGTTAAGCTCACCATTTAATTCATGTGGTGAATCATGACTTTTAATGTAGATGGATCTTTTTTTTTTTTTGAATGGGGTATCCACCCACTACCACCCCCGAAAGGATGCTTGGCTGCATGACTAATCCTCGACTGACTTAGAAAAGGAACCCAACCCAGAAATCTCTTGGGCATCACTTGATTGGACCCTACATAAGAGGCACCGCCGCTCAAGGGGAATCGAGCACGGATTGGGAGGTTCCCAACCGTACTCTCGCACCAACCAAGCTAAGCATCGGTGGGTAATGTAGATGGATCTAATCAAAATGAAGGGTTACATAGTATATTGCACTGTTAAAAGATCATTGTATCACATGAATTAATCTAAAAAATTCTAAAAAAAAAATAGACTGTTTCTAATGCATTTAGATACCTCCTCAAATTATTTTTGCATGTTTAGAAATTGAAAAAATATATATTTTCAATTTTTTAAAAAATTAAGTTAGGTCAACTAAATGTAATAAAATTTGTTAATATTAGTTATATTAAATTCAATATTTATTAATTATTTGAAATTTTTATTTAGTTATTTACATAAATTAGGCATTTTCTTATAGGAAAAATCTCTTCTTACAGCAGAACAGTAGCAGCAATAAGCTTATTAAAGAAGGTACATAAACTAATAGGCCGAAAATTATTCCAGTAATTAGCACCATTAGTCTTAGGAATTAAAACAATGGACGTGGTAGTAAAAAATTTAGGCATAATAACACCTTCAAAAAATTCAACAACAGCGTCAACAATGTCCTGTTTGATAATATACCAGCATTTTTGAAAAAACTTGTTCGTGAAGCCATCAGGACCAGCCACGGAATCAGAGTTCATATTATTTAAAGTATTCAGAATTTCCTCTTCCTTCGGATTTTTCGTCAACATAACATTATCGTCATTGGAAACAATAGAAGGCATAAAATAGAAATCAGTATTTAAATCCAGCCTAAAATTATTGTTGAAATCTTTTCAAAGAACTTGGTACCCGAGGAAGCAATCAAATCGGGATTAGTAATCTCATCACCCTCAGGAGTCGTAATCTTATGAATAATCCTACTAGTATTGTTATGGTTAGCAATATTATGAAAGTAAGAAGTATTCCTATCCCCATCAACAAAAAACTTTGCAGAAGCTTTTTGTCTCCAAAAAGCTTCTTCTTTTTCCTGCAAATTAAACAAAGTATGCTTGGCATTATTCATATTAGAAAGATTGGTAATGGAGGCATCATGCATATAGTCCAAATCAGCATTGGCCACATTACTCTCAGCAAGCTTGATATTAGTAAAGACATTTTTAAAGATGCACTTGTTCCACCATCTAAGAGGTTGCTTAAGCCTCTTAAGCTTGAGCCACAGTCTAGACATACCAGTCACATTGTTGTCAGGAAAAAGAGGAGCTTCCCAATTGCTTTTAACAATATCCTCAAACCTATTATCCAAAAGCCACATATTCTGAAACCGGAAAGGTTGAAAAGAGCTATTAGTATTGTTTAAAACATTAAGTAAAAGAGGAGAATGATCAGAAAGAGTTCTGGTTAAATGTTCAGTATGGGTATAAGAAAAAGTAGATATCCATTGATCATTAAAAAGGATACGATCCAGCCTTTGCCACATGGTACCTTTATTCCAGGTGAAACCACTGCCCGAAAAGCCAATATTATGCAAATTACAATTAACAATCATATCATTAAAATCCTCCATCGCCATAAAATTCGGTGGCTTACCACCAATTCTCTCAGAGCCATTAGTAATATAATTAAAGTCACCACCAACCAACCAGGGAGCATTAATAGTGGTAGCGAAAGAGGAGAGTTGATCCCATAATATTTTTCTACCCATTCTAGTACAGGAGGCATACACAAAAGAAACAAAACTAGAAATATGATTAATAGTGACATTAGCATGAATAACTTGAGGCAGATCAATGAGAATGTCAAAAGTAATAAACTGTTTCCAAAAAATCCAGATCTTATTAGAGCAATTAGCAAAAGCATGATCAAAACCCAAAATTCTACGAACAGAATCCAATTTAGTAACAGAAACGAAAGGCTCAAGTAAAACCAATAATTGAATATCATTAATCCTACAAAGATTCTTAACCCGATCTTGAGAAGGAGAAGCACCCACCCCCCTGATGTTCCAGATAAGAGCTTTAATCATTAACAACTTTATTAGAAGCTCTAGTGGCCCTAGGGGATTCAGGAGAAGCAGCCTTTTTATTTTTACCTTTTTTTTTTTGGATTGGACTATGAAGTCATCCTCCACCTTCTTGCCCTTAAAATGGGGATCAGACACAGAGTCAGCATTCAAATTACTTAAATTGTCCACGGGTAAAACAATTTCGATTTCCCCTTCTTCCATCCCATCCACTTTATCTTCTAACTCCTTCAAGTCAAACCCCTTTCCATCAGCTTTACTGCCAGTTACCCTTTGAATAGTGCCAGAGTCATTATTACCGTTATTTAAAGAACCGTATGCCCTGTTTTCATTCCCCAAATGTATTTTCACTGAAATAGAGGAACCAGCTTCCTCAGTTTTCCCACCTACCATTTCCTCTGCATTACTAGAAGTCTTAATAACTTCATTCTCCTCATCCCTTCCTCTAGTATTATTCATATCACCCTCCACAATATTTTCCTTCAAAATCGGATCTCCATTATTAGTGTCACAAGCAGTAGACTCAATGTCATTTTCCTTGTTATAAGGCTTTGAAAGTGGAGGATTAAGAGCACCACCCATCAAGATCTCATTTCTGTCCAGCACATTAGTATCTCCACCAACCGAGACATTCAATATTTTTTTCCTTCAGTGTTCTTTTTCAGTTGGGGATGAGCAACAAAACAATCATGAATCCCATGTCCGTGAATCTTACAATGCAAGCAGAAATCGGGAACTTTTTCAAAATCCACTTTTTGTAAATACCCACATTTTTCAGAACCAATCCATATATCTTTTTTTTTTCCTTCAGTGTTCTTTTTCAGTTGGGGATGAGCAACAAAACAATCATGAATCCCATGTCCGTGAATCTTACAATGCAAGCAGAAATCGGGAACTTTTTCAAAATCCACTTTTTGTAAATACCCACATTTTTCAGAACCAATCCATATATCTTTCGGATGTTTCTTAGTGATATCAAGTACCGATATGGCTTACCACCA